CTCCCACCCCTCCCGTCATCCGATTAGACAGCGCGACTCGAGCGAGGGGCGAGCGGGGGGTCGGGGTCGCCCTCCCCATCATCCCCATCCTGCAGACTGTCGGTTCATTGCTGATTTCGTCGTTATATATTTCGCAGACGAACTAACTGGGGGAAAGAAGAGCACTCAGCATTCCTTACATCATTGAAGGCTAGGATCGCGTATTAGTAACACATTCCAGTTCTATAGGACGAGAAGAATGGTAGGCCAAACACAAAGCAGGTTTCCGACCATTGGTTTAGCCTGAATATTTCTGCTCTCACCTCCCGCCCTTTGGAACCGTCCAGGGAGTACGCCCGTTTTCATCAATGTATTTCGAAAACTGACTGGAGCTCGGCGCCTGCGAGACTCGGGGTAGGCCACCCCGCAGTGCACGCGTGTATTGTAGGCAGAATGTTGCCTACTCACCAGGCGCTCCGAGAGCACGCACTGGATGGACTAGGCAGTTTCGCACTTCACGGCGAATGATGAACGTACTTTCCGGATGGAATCCCGGGATCGCCCTCCTCAAATTACGTCCGTATCACTCGCCGTCCATGACGAACCGGCAAGCTCTCCAAAGCGCCTGGGAGGTAGACAACTTCGTGCCTGCAGTGCACGCGTGCACTGCGGGGTGGCCTACCTCGAGTCTCGCAGGCTCTCCGAGCCTCTATAAATTTGCCGGATGAATGTAAGGAAAACGGATCAACTTTTCTGGACGATCCTCTTCGCTTCGACTCGTCCATGGGCTCATACAGGCCGGCACAGAGAGGCGCGCATGCCTGCTTGGCGCTTGGCGCCGGCTAGGCTGCAGCACGCCCCCAGCCTCGGGGCGGAGGAGGAGGAGGGGGGGGGGGTGTCCGCCAGTGCCACCGCCCCCACGGACTGCAACGTTGGCAAGCGCGGCCACCCTTAGGCTCTGAGGCTAGCCGTGCTCACGCGGGAGAGGGTGGAGGGGGGAGGATTGCAACCCCCACACCGCACGCCGCGCGCGCCACGCCCGCAGGCCGCCGCCGCCGCCACCCCCGCCGCCCCCACGGGCCGCCGCTCGTCCTGCCCCCTGCCGCCTCCGCTCCGCTTGCCGTCCTGACTCGCGGCTGCGCTGCGACCCGGCTCGGCCCCCGGCGCTCGGCCCGGCTCGGCTCCCCGCTCGGCTCGGCTCGGCTCGGGCGTAGCGTCGGCGCGGTTTAGCAGGCGAGGCTGCCTGCCTCAGTGCTGCGCGACCTCTCTCAGCGACCGGCCCGGCCCGCCGCCGTGCTCACGACGCTGTGCTCCCGCACGTCCCCGCCGACTGGGGCGTAACGACCACGACTCGCGCCGCCCCGCGCCAAGCCACGCCACGCAGCGCGCGCCCCCCGCCGGTCCAGAGGCAAGCCCCCTGCCGCCCGGCCCCGCGGCGGCGTCCACCACCGCGGCGACCACCGGCACCCGGCCGGCTCCGAGGGCGGCCGCCCGCTCCAGCCGAGCAGGGCCCCCCGGGCCCCCTCCTCCCCCTCATGGCGCGGGCCCCGCGGGCCCCGCTGAGGACCCCCTGACGGCCCGGAGGCTCCCCCGCCTGCCGCCCCCCATGGGGCCCCGGACCCAGCCGCCGACACTCGGCTGCAGGTGCACGGCCGAGGGACTGTCGTGACTGCCACCTGCAGTTGTAGCAGTAGTGCTCCAGAGGAACTCGACGTGACGAGGAGCGCCACCGCCGCCACCAGTAGCTACACGAGGATCCTTACCGACACTCACCAGGCACCAGGTGAGTTTTGGAACTCGCGACAGGTGGAAGCAGCAGGGTGTCGTTTGGTGTGTGGTGCGTCGCTCGTCCCTGCAGCAGCAGCCACCGCAAGCCGAGACGAGCTAGCAGTATAGCGAGATAAAGTGAAGACCGACGATGTGGCCGCCTGATCGATTTGGATAACGATTTCCTTCGGTGGCCCACTCAGGCGTCAGATTGCGCTGTGGGAGGTGTAATGACTTCCCCTTCCCCCCTGCGAGCAGCAGGTCCGCCCGTGCGACCGACGACCCCGCAGTGCAGTGTGCGTGCCGACGGGCGGGCAGGGCGGGCGAGGCCAGGGGACCCGCGTGTGCGGGTCACTGATTCACGCCGTCGGGCTCTAGTCGCCAGCCGCAATCACACCACAACGTGCCCTCATCCCCACGAGCATCGTTGGGCCGTGCTGCTTATGGTCCCGGGTGTGCGCGCGGCTGCCTTTTGTCCCGCTGGCCCTGCATGCTGTAGCGCTGGTCATGTGTGTGTCCAGCTGGTCATGTGTGCCCTTGGTCAAGTCCCGTGTCCCTTTTGGCTATGTGTGCCCTGGTCTGGTCCTCCTGTGTGCCCTGCTGGTCATGTGTGTGTCCTAGTGACCATGTGTGTGTCCTGCTGGTGTATGGCCATGTGTGTGGTGTGCGGTGTCCTGGTCTTGCAGTGCCACCACCGCGTCGTGTCCCGCGCTCGTGCCCGCGTCCTGGCGGCCGGCCCGGTTGGTCCTCTGCTGGCCCTGCGCGGCCAGCAGTCCCTCGCGGCCCGGCGGGAGGGGGCGGGGCCCCGGCTCGGCTCGGCCCGGTCGGGTCGGCGTCGCCTGCCGCTCATATTTCTCCAGGGACTTGAAGGCGAGGCGGTCCCTGATTGAAATGAGTAATTCAATTGAAGCGTGTCAAAGCAAGTCATGTAGCAGGTCTCACCGTATTGGCGCGCTGCCAGCGCTGCGCGGCGTGACGCGGCGGGGCGTGGCGGGGCGTGGCGGGGCGTGGCG